TGAGGCAGCAAGGGTGTAAAAGGGAAAAATACTAAAATAACAACAAAAAAGCAGTTGAGAGCTGGACTGACACAGAATCTCCACCCCAAGCTGCCTCCCCAGCCTGGCAGCTCCATCCCCTCTGCCCTGCCGGTCCCTGCCCTGCTGCCCTGCCACTTCCCAGTGTCACCCCATGGGGCTGAGACGGGGGCGAGGGGCTGCCTGGGCGAGAGAGGCCAAGGGAGCAGAGGAGAACAGAGACCCCAATGAGCGGACCGCTCTCCATAGGAAGGGACAACCCCCAAGGGTCTGGACGGTGAGGTGGGGACAGGGGAGCCGGGACAACGCTCCCATCCCACCAGACTCACCTGTTTGTGCATCTCGATGTTCAGGCCATAGGACATCTCGTAGTACTGCAAGGGAGAACAGGCAGCGTCAGCACGGCTGGGGCGCACAGGGGGGACTCGCAACCGCAAAGTCCTCTCTGGCACTGGCACGCGGTGTCAGCCCGGCCACGGACATCCGTGCTGTGGCCAGGCCAGGAGGAGAACACAGTCCCCAGCTCCTCTCCCGGGAGGAGAGGTCTGTCCGGCACGCGGCCACAGCCCACAGAACGGACACGGTCCTCCTGGGGCTCCCACTCGCTGCCCACGGGAAAGGAGACAGCCCGCACGGGAGCGGCTTCGCCACCACGAGCTGTGGCAGCAAGCCCTGCTCAAACACCATGGCTCATTCCACTGGAGCACCAGACAAAGCAGCCACAGCAACAAGATCTCCAGACCTGGCCACACAACCCAAACGCAAGGGGAAGCCAAAGCGTCCCAGGGCTGCTTGTTCTTTGATAGTTCAGAGGAGACACCCCCCCACAGCCCTTCTCCTTTCAGGTGGAGCTCACTAACCATGACATAATGACGCTGGATTTCTGTTTTTTCTGTTGCCAGCTTTTCACATTCTAACTTCAAGCTGTAAAAATAAAGAGAAGAAAGAGAGAAGGAGGGAGGGAGGGAGAGACCCCCTGGTCCCCTCACAAACAAGCTCTCCCGGGCTGGACAGAGCTCAAGCCCTCCCAGTGCACCGTGTGCTTCAGCCTCCTGCTCTCAGATTCAACCCTGTCTGCCAGCACGAGCCAAGAAAACCACCTGAAAGAGGCTGGGAAGGGGCTGACAAAGAAGAGATGGACAGCAAAGGGATCCAGGCATCACGGAGCAATCTGCACGGAGTTTTAACCCCCTCCCCAGCATCTGCTTCCCAAATGGAGCGAGCTGCAAAGCCAAGCTGCATTTCAAACCTTGCTCTGCCCAGCACCACGCGGGGAAGGGGAGGTGATCCTGGCCAGCAGCAGGGGGGATCAGAGGGACTCCAGGTCTGCTAAGTGACAGCTCCAGCTCGGCCCAGAAGCTGAGCTCTGGAAGCCAGCACCCCCACCCCAGGGTTTTTGGCAGGAGGCAGCCGAGTTTCCCCCTCAAACAGCGTCATTCCCAGCTACCAGAGCGGTGCCTGGCACAGCCGCCCTCCGGATGGAGC